GTGGAGGAAACCGCTTTGAAAGGACGCCAACACAGTGGTGATGGCCGTGGGGCGAGCGAAAGGGCCCCGCAGCGAAGAACGTCCATGTCCTTTAGGGAAATGCCTTTAGCCCAGGAACTTCCCTAGGTTGACATGGTGCAGGGCAAATGTCACGCCACCTCTGACGGGTGTGTTCACGCCAGCACCAACCTAATCCTGCGATCCTCTGTTCTGAGATTCCCTCCCTTCTCCCTAATCTCCTTCCCCTACAGTTTGCTTTTCTCAACACGTGTTTTCTGAACATCCACTAGGTTAGGGACAAACCCCAAGGGAGCAGTTAGGCACTGGGGTATCAGAATTCAGGTTGGACGAAGGACTTGCCTTGAGCCTGGTGGGTGAGCTTCACCTCTGTCAGGTGGCTCCTGTCCTCTGTAGTTAATGAGGTGTGACTGGTCTTGGTCACTCCTCAGAAGCTGGAGGTAGGGTCCAGGAAGAGGCTGGCAAGAGCCCTAAGCACTAGCAGCCACTGTCTGCCGTTTTCCCCCTGACCTCTTGATCCACATTTGTTAAGTATATTTGCTTCTTTTATTTGCTTATGGTTTGAATCTGTTCAAAGAAAATAAGCATTCTGCTCTGGCTGGGTGAGCCAGGGGGAACCCAAAGTGCAGAATGGACAGAGGGATTCTGCACCCTCTTGACAGAGCTCAATCCAGAAATGCCACAATCAGGCATCCCCTGTTCATCTCCTGCCTTTAATTGGGTTACTCAGCATTCTTGCTATGACCACCTTTTACTAGGGCAAAATCCTTCCCAGTTCTCTTGACCTATTTTAGTAATACTGAGCAGAGGTTGTAGACAGTGTTCTTTGTATTTTGGAAAGATTTTCAGAAACTGGTAGTAAATCACTGGGAAATTGTAGGGCTAAAGTATAGCATTACTTTCACTGATAAGTTTTAATTTGTGGGGTTGTCTGCATGCTTTAAATAGAAAGCATTGCTGTGTTCTAGCTATTGCTTTGAAAAATTGTGTAGAACACATTTTATTCACATTCTTCCAAAATCAAACTTAAAAAATTTCCCAGAGAAATAATCTGAAGGTTAGCTGATACAGGATGATAGTAAAATATGACCTAATATATTACATCATACTTGCAGTAACCCCCAGTATTTTTTGAGAACATATCAAAGAAGCCATATAATTGAATCTGAACCCTTGTTTAGCAATAGTGAGTCTGTACCAACCTGTTTTCTTTCACATTGCCATCCATATCTTTAAAATCATCTCTCTTCAGATCAACCAATGCCTTGACTAGATTCTTTATAGTAAATCAAATTTCAAATACATATTCAATGCCTACTATGTTTTAGACATTATACTTGGACTTTAAAACTCCTGTGGTTGGGTGGAGAAGAAAGACAGAGGCAGTGTGGTGGGTGCTAAAATATGGGAGTGGAGAACTCTGCAGATCTGGGATTTTAGCCTCTTACAAGCTAACAGGTTAGCCTGTTTTGTGGATGCTGTCGAAAGACACAAGACTCCTGGGTCAGAGACAAAGGACTTTGTTATTCATTGTCAGAGTTTCGTGTTGGTTTGTGTTCGAGCCCCATGTCCCCTGTTATGGGCAGAATTGTGTTTCTTCGTAATTCGTACGTTGAAGCACTAAGCTCCATGACCTCAGAATGTGTATTTGGAGATAGGGACTTTAAAAAGATGATTAAGTGAAAGTAGGCTGTTAGGATGAGCCTCGATCCAATCTAACTGGTGTCCCTACGAGAAGAGGAAATTAGTGCACACAGAGAGACACCAGGAATGCTTGGGCACAGAATGAAGACCAATGGAGGGCACAGTGAGAAGGCATTCATCTGCAATCCAAGGGAGAGGCCTCAGGAGAAACCAAACCTGTCGACATCTTGATCTGGGACTTCTAGCTTCCAGAACTGTGAGAGAATAAATTCTGTTGTTTAAGCCCCCCAGTCTGTAGTGTTTTGTATTGGCGACCCCAGCGGACATATATAGCCCCCAAGTCTGGTGGGGACGATGCAAAGGACCTTCATGGATGTGTGAAGTGGGTTGCATTATAAGACAAACACACCAAATCCAGGGGATTACTGATTGCACAGCATGGGGAATTAATCCTGCTCTTGGCCAGTGGGGAGATATTATCTCATCCTTCAAGGTTGCTTGCTGTAAATACAGGCCTAAGAAATGTCATGTGTGGGGCGCCTGGCTGGCTCAGTCAGTGGAGCGTGGGACTCTTGATCTCGGGGTTGTAAATTCAAGCCCCATGTTGGGTGTAGAGATGACTTAATAAAATCTTTAATTAAAAAAAGAGAAAGAAGGGCGCCTGGGTGGCTCAGTTGGTTAGGCGACTGCCTTCGGCTCAGGTCATGATCCTGGAGTCCTGGGATCGAGTCCTGCATCGGGCTCCCTGCTCAGCGGGGGGTCTGCTTCTCCCTCTGACCCGCTTCCCTCTCGTGCTGTCTCTCATTCTCTCTCTCTCTCAAATAAATAAATAAAATCTTTAAAAAAAAAAAAAAGAGAAAGAAATGGCATGTGTAAAGTGTGGTCAAGGACTTACATTCTTGGCAAGCCCAGCAAAAATGTTCAAGACCCATGGCAGATTGCTTCTCCCACTATAAGTATGCTTCTCTCTCCCTCCCCTGTTGAGCGTACCAGCCGACCCCCACCCGGCCACAAGTAGCAACTGACATAGTAGCCTTGAATGTATCCCTCTAGATGTACACTTGCATATGCAGGGGTTGTTTGTTTGTTTGATTAATGCTTTATAAAAAATGAGATTTTGCTTTCCTCACTCAGTAGTACCTCATGCAAATTCTCCTAAGTCAACTTACATAGTTCTACTTTATTCTTTTTAATGGTTGCATAATATCACGTATGTGGATGTTCCATCATATATCCAGTCCTTTCTAATCAAGTGCTCACTTTGTTTTCAGTTTTTGCCACAACAAACATTGTAGCAATAAAAGTTCTTACCTGTAAGTCTATATATACTAGTGCTCTTATTTCCACTGCAGTGATTTCTGGGGCAAATGAAGACGGTGACTGGGCGTATTGGTTCTGAATTCCTACTTTCCTGTTCGTGACAGAGACAACGGCTCCCATGATAAGTCCAATTTTCTGGCATCGTTTGAGAAATTGCCGCTGGAATTTCAACTTATTATCTATTTTGTCAGCCCTATCAATGCATTTGTGAGCAAACTGTACATGCTTTAATAAGTCCTTTTTTACCTGAGCCACCTAAAGAGGATTATATTTAGTCTACAACTAAAAACCCTGGCTGATCCAATGTATTTTAAATTTTGATAAAATACTGCACATATTCAATATGACAACACTCTCCTGTCCTTGGTAGAGACACAGGCTTTGGGTTGCTTTCCTAGAAAAGATATAAGATTGGTATGAATCAATTAATTAATATTGCATGTCTTATATTTCAACTGGAAAGAATGGTTTATCTTTCATCAGTGTTACTGGGCAATGACTAACCCAACTCCATGTAGCTCCTTCTTCCTCTACACAGAGAAATGCCAGACCTTCTTCATTCCTCCTCTGTGTTGCAACCAGATAGACTGATCTTCATGTATCAGTTGATTGCTTTTGGGTACAAATGAAAGAAGAGAGAAGCAAGTCACTGTGTTTTTTTGAAACTACATATGGCTGATCTCATTCAATAACCACCAGAGAGATTTGTAGGAAGGCTTTTGGCCCCCCTTTCCACCACCACCTTTTTAGAATTTTTCCTGAAACTTTTCCCCTTAAAAATAATCATTTGAGGATGGGAATAAAAACCAGGTCAAACGGTGCATCTATTTAAATCATTTATTTCAACACAGGCATTGTTTTAAATTTGCACCTTGTCTTGTAACACTTTTCATATCTAGAGAACAGGATTGAGAACAAGTACATAAAAGGATTATTTGACAACATTTTAACAAAAGTGCTTAAGGCTTACTTGTTTCAGAACACAGGTGTGCCAGTCACAAGAGCCCCTAAGTGGTAATACATTCACAAACTTGCTGGGAACGTAAGATATTTACATATTTATGCTGTACATTTAAATAGGATATTCTAAAGTGTTATCACCACTGTTAACAATAAACTCTTACCAATAAGGCCTCTTTAACCTTCTGGCATTCCACAGAGTATAGTGCTTTTATGGAGGTGGGAGTTTTTCAATTTTATTCCCGTCTTCACCATAACCTAAGTGGACTTTCTTTCATTATTTCTAGTACAGACATACATTTACCTTCTACACAAAATTATTTTTATTCACTTTTCACCAGTCAAAACCTTGTTAGTAGCAGTTGGAAGTTTTATTAACATCCATATATTTACAAATGTAAGGGGGTGAATTATTTAGAAAGAGGTCTCTAAAAATGAAAATAATCTCATTAAGCCCCCCTCCTTTTTAAAGTAGACTCCACTTTAAAAAAGTGTGGAGCCCAATGTGGGGCTTAGGACTCTCTACCCTGTGATCATGACCTGAGCTGAGATCAAAAGTCGGTCACCTAACCGACTGAGCCACCAAGGCGCCCAAGCTCTATTTTAAATAAATTGTACAGTGTGAAATTGAAGTCTATTATCTAAACAAGTTAATAATTTAAAGGTACTTATTAGAATGGATTCCCTCATGATTTACTCCATTTATGTGAATATTTATTTTAATAATGATTATATCCTTTAGAACACAAGTGAGGGGTATAAAAATGACTATTATAAATTAGTATAGCTATACCAAAAATGAGTCTTAAAAAGCAGCAGTTTATATGTTAAAATACATAGAAATTTGCTGTACTTCTTTAACGAAGTATTTTATAAAAGTATAAAACTATAGAAGGTGCTGGGTTTTTTTTTTTTTTTTTAAGATTTACTTATTCATTTGAGAGAGAGAGAGAGAGCAAGGAGAGGGGCTGAGGGAGAGAGAGAATCCTCAAGCAGACCCCCCACTAAGTGCAGAGCCTGACTCGGGGCTCGATCCCATGACCCTGAAATCATGACCTGAGTTGAAATTGAGAGTCAGACGCTCAACCGACTGAGCCACCCGGGTACCCCTAGAAGTGCTATTTTTATGAATTTTCTGTTTCTTTGATTCTTGAGCCAGACCAACAAGCAAACATTACAAACAGTGCAGGTGAGAATCAGCCATCAATTACCTCTGAATTCAAATAGGAGATTCCAGTGCAGAGAAGGAGGGCCTCAGAGTAATTGTTTATCCTCACCTTAATTTAACTGTTGATATAGCCTAAACTCAGTGAAAAATAAGCTAACTTCATTTCGCCTTCTGTAACGTACATGTAAACTCAGAGTATTTACTGAAATAGAACTTGCAAGTTGATCATTTTTCAAAAATTGAGAAGCTTAACATTAAAATATGAACTCTGAATATCTTAAAATTAGATGGAAAACAGAAGTCATGGTTTATGAAACTTGTACTTAAATAATCAGATAAATAGAAGGGGAAGGGGAAAGGTAGAATTTACAAACATAAATAAAAAATGAATAAAATGTTATTTATTCTTTACCATTTAAATTGAAATATCCAGAACAGTTGATTTAAAATTCTATTATCAGTCTCTTTGAGCTTGATATTGGTCAGAGCCTGGACTTTAAAACAATTTACAGATTTAAGGAATAACTTTCATGTTAGTTACCACATGTTTATTAGTTTTGAGTTTCATGGGAATGATGTGAAGTCGCCCTGGTATTTTGCTTCCAGGCAAAGCAATGGTTAGGAGGATAATAATAATATAGTTCTTTCTTGCATTTCTATCAGTTCTAGATCTCTGTATGCTTCACCAACACTATCATTATCCTTAATTTATATGGATGAAACAGACTAGGTGAGAAAAATGGAAAAGAGAATTGGGTCAGGAAGCAAATATGAAGCAATCGGAAGGAAATCCACTCATGTGGACCCTCACAGCACTAAGGTCCTAGATGGCAGGCTTTCTGTAGTTCTAGTGAATTATCTTTACCGCCATCTATTGGTGTTTATCCTATTAGGAGGGAAAGTTCCAGAAGGTTGGCTTGGCAACCAAAGAGTTAGAAAGCCAAGTTGTGGATATGAAGAGTATTTAGTCTAGATACATTATTGAAGAAATCATAGTGACAAGCCCTTAGAAGCTCTGCCTTATAATTTCCCGTGGGTTTGGTAAATGATCCTGCAAAGAAGCCAGTGAAACCCAGTGTGTCTGATCTCACTCAGCGGCATTTTAGGGGCGTCGCCAAGGCTATCGCTTGATATTCGTGACTAAAACGTGCACATGAAATAAAGCGTTCTATCCTGTAAATAAAGAAACTCCAGAAATGGGTAGTCCTGCAGAAATGGGGAAAACCAGTTGGGGAGAGAGCTGCAGTGAGGATGTCCATCCCACGAAGGATGTCCACTTACCTGCATCCCCAGTCATGCTTCCTTCCTAAGCAGGAATTCTGTGGCCAAGCCACCTTCTGTACCATCATGCTACCTGGCCTGAGTCCTTGACTTGATTAAACCTCAGCCCTTAACAAGTCAGCCAGTCCCTACGAATGTCTTCAAATGTAGTCCTAGAAGTACTAATATTTTTGGCTTAATAGGGATTCAGCTCCTCATCTCTAACCTCAATAAATACATCAAACATCTGCTTCCATCTAATAGGATGCCTTTATGAAAATTCCCTTATCTTTGTTTGAAAGGAAAAAAAACAAAAACAAAAAACAACCCTAAACCTCCTAAATGCTAGGTCAAACAGGATGGTAACATTTACTCCACTGTCATTATCCCTACACTTTATTTAATGTCATGAATATAGGGTGTGGATTGGAAGGGGCAGTACAGAATTTTCTAACTTATTGAAGTTATTACTTCTGTAAGTGCCGGGGGTATTAGGGTTGTGAATCACAATGAAAGGTGTAAAAAAAGTTAAGGAGAAAGTAAAGTAAAGCAGAAAGCCAAAGTTGGACAGTGAGGGGACAGGAGGGAAGTAAGGCCAAGAGAGAGAAAACAGCAGAGAATCCCCCAAAATAAAAAATAATTTGCTCTAGAATTTAGGAAATATATATATATGTTGTAGGGAAGGGAGGGAAGAGAATTTGGGTTGTTTCAGAGCAGGTGCTGCTCAGACCAGATCTTTTTTATACTGTCCTTCTCAAGGGCATACACATTTACACTTCATTTCCAGTACAAGCTTTTGGTGGAAAGGTTATGCATTTTATTGAGGAAGGCTCACAGTTCTGACTCTTTGTCATTTTCATCTAGATAGTATTCATCATCCGTGGTTGTGTCTGTGTCACAGTCTGAGTCCACTGGATTCTCTTCATAGATATTAAGTGGTGCGCTTGGAGATAAGGCATCTTCTGGCATCTGGCTGAGAGGAGAATTTGAGCTGGATAGCTCTGTTGGATTAGGAGCATTAATTACATCATCTTTTAGGAAGCCAGGGTTCTTGAGAAAACTTGGCTTCCATAATCTTCCTTGCGTGAGTGACCTCTTTACATTCTCCAAGAAAGCCAACTGTTGTTCTTTCCCAAAAATTCCATAGTCAATGGGTCTGGATATAGATGTTGCCGACCTGGGGCCCATTTTTGTCCTGCCACTACACAAAGCCCGATTTTCATTTGCATTACAGGAGGAAAGCTCAGAAAAGGATCTGAATCTTCGACTGTACCTGCTGTCACTGGAGAATTCATTCCCTAGGGTCAGTTGACTCAGGGCATTGACAATAGACGTGTTCTCAGAAAAATGGCGCTCCCTGACTTTTGGAGGATGACTTTTGCGTACCAGATCACCGTGCACACTGATGCTTTTTAAACTGTTTGAACGATAGGGATGTGGTTCAGGTTCCCATTCCAGAGATGAAGCACTTCGTTGCTGCCGGTAAGTGGGCAACGGGATGCTTCCTCTGGATTTCTCTGCGGGCTCCAGTGGAAAAGGAGGGTTCAGTCTTCTCTGATGGTCAGAGAAGTCTGCTTCCCCGCGGCTGGGGAATGTGGGTTGGGCCAAGTCTCCTGACTCTCTTTCCAAGGTCTGAGCTGCTGCTACATCTTTAGACTTCTCATACTTTGGTGATGATGCTGAGATATTTTTAGACTCACTCTGACGTAGTTGTGAAATGCCGTTAGACTTCTGATTGCTTAACTGTGTAGAAGCTTCTCTGTTGGATATTACAGGAACCTGGAGAGAGTTCTCGGATTTCTCCGCCTCCATGACATCGCTACTCAACCTGCGTTCATTTCTGGATTCTCTGGACTTTGGAGTAGGCTGAGGGGACAGAGGGTCGCGCTCTGGTGTGCCAAGAGATAGGCTGCCAAAGCCACAGCTGTTTCCACTTTGTGGGAAGATAGTAGCTACATGTCTTCTGGGGCTTAAATCTTTAGCTGAGAATTTTCTGCTGGCTTTGGACATGGCTGCCAATCTGTGTTTAACTAAAGATCTGTTTTTTCCTTTTTCTGGGTCATCCACGCTGGTTTTATTTTTATTGTTTCCTTCAGGAAGTGAAGGTTGATCCCATGCCAACTTTTGCATTTCGTCTTCAGCTTTACTGTTCTCTGTCATACTTACCTCCTGACTCCTTTGCGGTAGTTCTCTGGGTTCAGACTGCAAACTGTCTAAATCTGGCTCTCCTGAACAAGTCCCTTTGTCAAGCTGTAGATTATGCAAAGCTGGAGGAAGAGCAAAGACCTGCCTTTCCGAGTCATAAAGTGCTTTAATACTCTCTTTTTGGAAATCTGTTCCAATTTCCCCTCTGACCTGCCTCGGCTGCAATCCACTGGAGCTACCAACCACAGCTTCGCCTGTGATATCTTTCTGAAGGCATTCTGCAGTTCCAGGAGCTGTAATGACCACAGCATTACCTGCACACTCCTCAGGACTTCTTACGGTTTGGGAATTTCCAACATTCTCTTCTGAATGGGCCGGAAGATTAGAAGGACCACCGTTACCCAACTTAACGGGCTGCTGACAGTTTTCCAATTTCTCTTCTGTAACTTTTTTTCCCTGAAGCATTGATAAAACATGCAGGGTTTCACTCTGCCATTTTTTCCCTCTCTCCTTTCTGCTCTGTGCATCGCCTAGAGGTGTTTTAGTGAAGTTATCTGGGGAAATCGCTCCAGTTTTCGATTCTCCTTTATGAAGAGAAACATCTGCCGCAGTAGAAGCCATTTCCTGTAATGTGGGCTCTGAGGGCCTCGGGTCTGGTGAAGCCGTCGTATCTTCAGTGGTGTGAGAAACACAATGGCTCTTCTCCTGAGCAGAGCTGACCAGCATCTTTTGACCTTCAGAGGAAGGTGTTCCTGACTGCTCTTGTATAGAATAATTTAGTTTGTCCTTTTCAAAAGCATTAGGAAATGCTTCGGTCTCCGCTTTAGTTGATTCTGTAAGTGAATCGATTTGCTGTGTAAACTTTTCGAGAATGTTACAGAATTTTTTGCTGTATTTCCTTGGCAGGGTGTAATATATTGAAACCACCTCAAGACATTTCACATTATCTTCATCACCAGAAACCGAAAACATACTAGTAGTCTTAAATTTATGTAATGTTTTCCCACTTTCTTTTCTTGACATATCTGAGGAAAAAGGTAAAGGGTCTTCATTTGAGAACAGACCTGTCCTGGAGGCAGCAACTTTACGATCCTTTTCAGTGTGTTCTCGAAAGTTTTCCTTTTGGGGGTGCCCTTTGGGTAAAGAACAATCGCTAACAGGTGGGTTATTTTCCGGAGGGCTATTGATTGTCTCCCAAGGTCTTAGTGTTAGAGCAGAAGCATCTGTGCTTGAGACCAAGCATTCTTCTCTTTCATCTCTCCCATTTGAGGCATCTGGTGCCCCTGAAGGACATGACACAGCCCTCCTGGTGAGGAATGGAAGTGGTCCTTTTCTAACAGAAGCAGATCCAATGTTTTTCATATTTGTCATCCTCTTTGTGGCTTCAGGTGCTACTGAGACGGAGTCTGAAACTGCTTTGGAACATCTGCTTTCTGACTCCAAAGAACTGGAACTGAATTTGTTTGACGCGTACTTCCCTCTTGGGTCTTCCACCTTATTTTTGATTTGGAATGGAAGTGGTTCATTCCTAAATGAAGAAGGCATTATCTTACTTTCTGACTTCCTGTTATTGATGAGAAAACTGGCTGATTTTCTTGGCGAGATACAATAAGTAGTGTGAACCTCAGGACACTTGGAATTGCTTCCATTCATCTCCCTGAGGTTACTGTTATCACTTGTAGGTGCTGATCTGCTTTCCGTTTTGCTTAACTTTTCAAAACAGGAAATGCATCGTCTTATTTTTCCTTTTGCTTTTCCATCCTTGAAAGGAGGGAGGGAATGGCATTTGACAGCATCAACCACCTCATTATGTACAAGCACACAATTATCATGACTCTTTTGGTTTTCTGAGGAGCTTAGGGCAAACTGATCATTTTGGTGTTTACTATCATTGTCTTTTTGTTCCCCTTCTCCCAAAGATGGATCTTTGCCTGAAGGACTTTTCCTGGAGAACGCTGTTGTAGAAGGAATCGCCAGAGCCTCAAGGGAAGAATTATTTGACGGTGAGTCATCAGGTGCTATACCTGATGACAGGTCTAAAGAATCCCCCGGGATCTTGTGACCAGCAGCTGATCTGCTACAGTTCATAGAATGAGTTGTGCTATGTTGTTCTTCCTCGGCATCTGAAATAGCAGGCTTTTCCGGAGACTGTGCACTTTGATTATCAGGTGCAGAGCTCCAGTGGTGATTTCTAATAATGCCTGAACTATCTTCATGGCTTACTCTTACTTCCTGGTGACCACCTGGATTTGGGCTGGGAATAGATGTTGTTCTGCTTTCCTGAATAAAAGGAAGGGCAGTTGCTGAGCCAACTTTTCTATTCCCAGTAAAATTCCTATCTTTTTTTAGCTCATTGGATTTATCTCTGTGTGATAGATGAATTTTGGATATATCTTTCCTGGCAATAACTCCAGGTGACATTTTTGAACTTACTGTGGTAGATGCATTCAAAGCAAATCCTTTGCTCTTAGCTGAGTCCTGGGACAGGGGATTTCGAAAATCGGGGGAAAGGTTAGAGATTACAGTTTGTGAATCAGGTTGGGGTACTTCACTTGTCATGTTTGTCTGGTCCATCTTGTTTAGTTGTTTATCTTCTTCCAAAACAGATTCATTCAAGTCTTTCTCATGACTCACATCTGTGGCTGAGATATTGGGTGGGCTTTCAGTAAGAGGTGGAGAATCAACTGAATTCCTCTTGGTCACAGTGACTTGTGTATAGGTTTTTACTGGAAGAGAGGCAGGCTTAATTTTCTGCACAGTGACTGTGGGATTCTGAAAGATGGGACTCTGAGGATTCCCTCTGTCATCAGGAATCTGGGGGAAGGAAGTTTTAAATGAGGATGCTAGAGTCTGAGCAATTCCAAATGAGTAAGGTTCTTTGTTGATATGGACTTCTGTAGGAGGACTGCCCTCTTGACATACTGACCTACCAGATGTGATGTGATAGCTTGGACCAGTCATAGGGCAAACATTGGGCATGTTGAAATGAGTCCACTGGCTCTCATTACCTTGTGACACCTCCATGCTCTCCAGCATGGGTGTCTGAGAATCAAACTGCCAGGGATGTGGCTCTTCTTGATCTCTGAACATATTTGTTCTGTAACTAGAAGAAAATGATCCCCAGTGTTGAGAAAGAACACTATGGCCACGAGCAGCTAAGGCACTATTTGCTTCTGTGGAAATCATTTCAGAGTCTCTCTCAAAAGAAGGGAATGGATGCTGGCTTTGATGGAAGTCAGACCAGGAAGAATGTTCTTCCTGTTGGTCCCAAAAAGGACTTTGCCTAAATCTCTGTTCCCTGTTTCGTCCAAAGGTGTTGCTAGAGAAAGATCTAGCAAATGGGTTTTTTTGAGGGTAGAATGGCATATTCTCTGAGTTCTCAAACGGGTCAGGACTCATTGCATTATACATGGGGGCATTAAAATGAACACCTTGGCAAACACTCTGTGAACGGTAAAATCCATATCTCCTGTTCTCCTGAAAACACCTGGGATACGTATACTGGTCGGCAGTATCAATCTCCATGGGTGACGGGGCCCTCAGGAACTCTTCTTGGCTCTGCCTATCTCCAGAAGAATCTGATCTATTCCATATGATGGATGATAAAGGAGTTCTCTTTGGGCTCTGCTGGTGTCTTGGTGGTATAAACCCACTCTTGTTCTGAGTGGTGGTTGGAAAATGTAAGCTTCTTGCTGTGAAATATCTTGTAGCTGGTGAAGCCGATTGTTGCCTGCTGTCGAAACACAGAGAAGTACTACCAAAAGTATTCTTTTGCACATAATCTTCTTTTAAGAGTCTGGGCTCCCTTGTCCTGTACATATCATAAATTGCTTTTGTTCTAGGAGAAAAGATTTTAAAACCTTCCCTAGGGGCTCCTGGTCTTAGGATGTCATAGATAGACATATTAGAAGTTTCATTATAGTGGTTTTTGTGCCGTCCTGTGATATTACCATGTGTGTTTCCCCTAGAGTAGAAATGACTGAACTGTGTTCTCGATCCATAGTTGAGAGGTGTTGTGGTATTCACTGAGCTTGGACACTGTTCCTGAGCCAGTTTGTTATCCAAATCATCTAAAACTGAAAGGAGAATATGAGTCAGCTTTTTTGTATAACATTTTATAATCTAATAATAATTTGAGTTGTTGGGTGCCTGGATGGCTCAGTTGGTTAAGCGACTGCCTTTGGCTCAGGTCATGATCCTGGAGTCCTGGGATCGAGTCCCACATCAGGCTCCCTGCTCAGCAGGGGGT